TGGTGCAGGGGGAAGATTCGCAAACTTTCCTGCTTCCGCAATTGGAGGAGGTGCTCTGAAAACAGGCTTAGGCGGTCCTGGAGGGGGTGAAGCTTCGCGTGTCGGCGATGGCGGCGCAGGGCTTCCCGAAGAATTGCGGTTGACGGTTGCGTCTGTCCTTGTCCTCCGCGCTGGTGGGGGTGCTGGCGGAGGTCCTCGTTTGGAACCACCAGTGTTCTGGGGGCTGAGAGATGCGGCTGCAGGCGGCGCACTCGGTGGGGGAGGGGGAGGCGCTCTGGATTTGCGCTGGTTGTTCTCGTCCTTGAGCTTCTCCTCTGTCTTCCTCTGCTCAATGTACAGCTTGATAAAGTCGGCATTTTCTTCGATCTGGTCTTCGGTAATGCCCATGGCCAGCAATTCTTTCAGAAGCGGCTGCCATGATGGGTCGGTTGTGTCGATGGCTGAGTTTCGGGCGCTTGTCGCGTTGGAGTGGGTGCTTTGCACGGGCGATGTAACGTTGGTAGGTGGAATGATGGATGCTGGCGGCGGGCCAGGTGCAGAAGAATGGCGGTGTCCGAAGAGCCCTCCCAGCAGGCCGTGGCCGTGGCCGCCACCGCTCTTGCCGTTGGCTGCAGGCGCGCTGCTCCCTGCGGATGTGCTGAAAGGTTTGTTCTTTGTGTTCTTGTGGGCGTTCTTTTCGCGGTCGTCGAGCTTCTTCTTGAACGTCTTGGCCTCCTTCTCGTCGGCAAAAGACAGGCCGGCGAGACAGTCCTCGAGCTCAAAGGTGTGGAAGAAGACGCGGTCCTGGTTGTAGGAGAAGGTGTCGTAGATCTCCTGGTCCCATATGACACCGCGACTTTGGGGCTGCATCCGTCAGTCGTGTGTTCTGTGCTGTGGCTTCGCGCGCACCTACCGATATGTCCACCATCTTGAGCCAGAACGTGTTGCCGACCAGGTCGTTGGCCAGCACGACGGCGCCCTGCAAGCCCGTATAGGTCCATCGGCGCGGGTCGGGGTAGGCAATGTACAACTTGGCGACGGCGACGGTGTGGATCTTGTTGGCCGACTTGGGCACGGTGCGCTTCACCGTCTGCTTGTCCTCGTCAGAGAGAATCGACGGCATGGCGGCGGCGTATTTGGCAGGCTCGAGGTAGCAATGCGTGTCGTGGTTCGGGGGAAGATGCTCAAGTGTCCAGCCGTTGGGCTTGGGCGTGGCTGGTGGGGCGTGCTCCTCACTCCACTATTAGGCAGCACATGGGAACAATCGCAATCACTCGGTAAGCCGGTCGAGGCTGCGTGTTTGGGGGGAATGCTAGTAGTGTGCTGCGCCGAGCTCGCCACGGTGTTGGTAAGAAGAATGGCGGTGCTTGTGAAGGGGAGACGTCACTTGCGGCTAACATCCCGACTGGGCGGACAACGGAGAAACCCATCGAACGCTTTCTGCCCAGTCAGGTTTGCCGACCCAACGGCACCACTTTTCCCAGACAACTACCCAAACTCATCTTGACAGTCGCTCCCAAATCTCGCGAGCGGGAAGTCTGATATTGCCTCATGGTTACCGAGATTGCGTTGCTTGGATGCGTCGCGGCCTTCTCACGCGACACCGACTACCTAGGTACTCTCAAGACCAATACAGGACTAGTCGCCCTCCGAGAAGGCAGATGCTTTTTTTGACTTCAGAGCATCTGTCTCCCATGTGCTAATAAAGAAGATGTATACGCACCATGAATTAACAGCCTCTCTAGCGGTTCGCGTCTACGTAAGCTCGGATACTGCGCCACTAACGCCGACTTTCAGGCTGGATACCTAGGCCTCCAACTATGACACCTTGACAGCTTGGCGTTATCGTAATCCATGTAACGACACCACCGGTGACATGGTGAATTGTATTTGGCAGTACTATACCCATCTCATTACCTGACTTATTTTCAACCATGGACGATTTATTTGATGGCTACATGGTGCTAGATGGCATAGGCGACTTTCTTGAGTCCAGTGTTCCGGCCAGCCATCCCAAGGCACCTGTAGTTCCGCACACAGAACAGCATACAGAAACATCCAAACAAGCCATAAGGCCCAAAAAAGATAGTCTGGACAGTTCTGACCCATGGTAGTCCCCTCGCACGATCCAAAGTGTTATACCATACTCATATCCAGCAGCACTACTGTATCTAGCGGCGACACGGTGGCACCGGGAGGGTTACGACAACGACGCGGACACACTAAAAGTCGCCTGGGCTGCATTCCATGCAAGCGGCGCAAGATCAAGGTACTGAACCAGTACCGTCATATCATGCCGTGCCACTAAACTCCGTCAAGTGCCCAGAGACATGGCCATCATGTACAAATTGCGACAAGCGCGGACGTAAGTACAAAATCATGAACTAAACCCCACATCTCACCAACCGTCCAAGTGGTTTGTAGGTATCCGGATGTATTCAAGCACGCGCGACGAGATTATATACCGCCAGAAACGCCGAGTCCGCGTCAGGTTGTTAAACTTTCGGAAACACCTACCATCTACAGTTCAGATGATATGCAGTTGTTCCATCACTATCTTATCTCGGCACACCCTTGCATTCCGCACGACTGGAATGACATTTGGGTCAGAGATATCCCTGTGAAAGCCAATCAAGTATGTGGCGCCTTCCTCTCCCAGTACAACAAGTCTATCGTCACTGACTACTCAGTATCCATATCTTATGGATGCTATGCTCGCTTTAGCTGGATCTCATCTTGCTATCCAAGTTGAGAACCCAAAAACTAGTCTTGCACTGCAACACCGACAAAGGGCAATCGTTGGACTTGAGGATTCCTTCTCTCGATGGCCTCCAACTGCTGAAGAATCACATATCATGCTTGCTACATCTTACTTGCTGTGCTTCCAATCCAGCTACATGGAGGACGGCTTTCTGGAGCATTTCCTGTCTTTACGAGGATGCTCGTTCCTTTCCCAGCTAATCTTAGGCGAAGGCTTCCGTGGTCCTTTCTCTGATCAAAAAGCCTTGGGCATGATACGTATGGACACAACGTTTTGCAATTTCCCCGTGGTGGACCAGGAACTTCTACGCGAAGCTCTACTATCAATAAAGGGACTTTCTAGTCTGATGACTGGACCCATTGCGCATCCCATCGAGAAGGCCATTGTCGGACAGCTCATCGAAACGCTTCAATGTCTTCTGGTCTCAGAAGTGGAGAACCCAGAATTAAGGGACGCATTTGATTCAACCACTGAATATGATGAGGAGAATAACACAACTTCAATACCAGGTACACCTTTAGTATCAGGTTTTACAAAAGCAAGCACTCTACCACAAATGGCTTCGGGCCCCAACTCACCTTCCGATCTCTACGCGTTCGCCAACCCGATTCTACCAGGAGACCTCGGCGTGGTGTTCGACAAGATCGACTGGGAAAATCTCACAACTGCCCCACCGGGTGCTCCATACCCGCTCCAGTCCTTTATTGCTGTTATGGCTATCCTCACCATCTTCTCTACCTGGCCGCATGACGGGCTCATGCATGTCTTTGATCCCACAAATCAACTCGGCAACGTCGTCATGGCGCACTTTTGCGCCATACGTTTCGTCCTCTCGCCACTATCGGCGCCGAGAAAGGCATTGACAACCCCTATAAGGGCGACTGCTCAATGGCTTGCCCGGATCATAGCCGCCACAGATGACGATGAGAGTGGGGAGTGGGCTCAGTATGTGGAGTGGCCGAAGAAGATACTTCGGTGTATGGAAGAGTGTATTGAGAAACATAAAGGCTTCACCATGGAGGGTGTACGTGATATGCTGGTGCGCGATCCTGGGGCGTTCAAGGAAGGAAGAGGACGGAATTACTGAGCGTCACAACATCATGATCCGATATGTTGATTACGCATCGCTTTCTCTCGTGGTGAATCAGTGTAAAAATAGAAAGAGACACCCAATTCCGCTTTACACGATACGTCTACTTCCAGGCGCAGAGATTGTCAGTGAATGTGTATTTGGTGCAGTTCCCTTTAGCCACTAGGTGGTGAACGCCCTGCGGGCTACCTGCATGTTAGCAACCTGGTTAGATCACGAAAATGTTATCAATATGAACGACATCACCAAGGAGGGGGGGGAAGGCGGGTGGGAACGTAGATCTTGAGCGGACTTCAGCATCAAGAGAGCTGTAGTAGGTCACAATGTGCAGGAGCTTGCATGCATGTTCAACGTTTGCTGCTTGCCGTATCTCCAGACTAGCTAGTAGTCAACCCGATCCTATTAAGACAGACCGGTTCCACAACCCTGATCGCATCATCGCACTTACATCTGCAGCCCGTCTGCTCCCTCCATTCTCCACGAGTCCCCGAGATCTTTGGTACGCTCACCCCTCTCGCTCTCTCCTGCTCTGTAGTCGCATATGTACAAACCTGCAGCCCATCATGCACATACCCCCAATCACTAAAATGATGCAATTCCTCCGGCTTCAACAACATGGCAGCAGCCAATGAATGCACGGGTGCATCACCCCACCTCTCATAATAAAATCCGCCATCACGGTCCAGATACTCAAAGATGGCACGATACGCATCTCCACGGAAGAAATCCATATCTGCAATCTCAAAGTTCGACCAGAAGTGACACATGTTCCACAAATCCCCCCTCTCATCCCGATTCCGCAAGAGCGCTAGTGCACGGCGGAGGGGCCAGGGCATGTAGCTTGCGTCGACCATGGCGGTCCAGAGGCTGGTGGTGGGGAGGCGGTATTTATTCTTGAAGAGGGAGAGCTTGTAGAAGAGGGAAGGGACGGTTTGCCCGCGTTCCCAGAGTGCAGTTGTGTAGCCGTAGCGTTTTCTGTGGCGCGTCATCTCAACAAAGGGGTCATCTAGCGTACGATGTACAGAGTGAGCAAATGTATCACCTAGAATTCGTGCACGAAGGTTACTTACAGGTTATGGCGCACGTGAAGGATATGAAGGGTTCGACACGCCAGTAGTATTTGTAGGGAAGAAGGGCCGGGTGGTCGAAGAAGAAGCTGTGAGGTTTTTATCAGTGCGCCGTTCTTGAGATGGGGTTGGCTTGTTTGACATACCCAGACTGAAAGCGGCACATGTGGTGATAGCTTTCTTGTCCTCCATACTGTATACCCCGGTTTTTCATGGATTGCATGCTGCTTCTCGCGCGCACTTGGTCGATCCACTCGGGATATCCCCACATCTCTTTTGGAATGACCTCGAACTTCACTTCCGTGTCTTTTCCTACTGCTTTGCCCACCTTAATCTTGAAATCCTCCGTCCACTCTTCGTCGTTCAGAAAAACCCATGGATACCCAAAGTTATCGTTGAACTGTTCTTGGACGCTTCGAATGCTGGAAATTGCGCCCTTAACTTCCGAGTTGCGCGCCAGCATTACGAGTACAGCGGACTCGCGTGCGGTCGTGTTTAGGACGGGGCTCTGACAGCCCGTGTAGAAGGGTGCGTCGAGGGGTGTCGACGGGCGAGGAACATCGTAGTTTCGTACATGTACGTATACTTCGATAAACATCAATGACACGATAGCCAGAATCAACTTCCAGTGGGATTGTGCAGTGCGCCCCAGCGACCGCAGCGGATTCCTCCTTGGCCGTAGATTGATTTTGTGCATAGCGATGGCGAAAACATGGCGTTTAACAAGAAACGAGGAAGAGCAGTAAAGGCTGTAGGATGCGATGAGAGCCTAGCCAAGTCTTTTTCTACAGGCGCATGGAAGACGGAATCTTGATTGCTGCGCCATTAGGCGTCCCCTTTTGGATCCAAATGAGGTATAAAGGGCCCGAGTACAGGGTGCCTTACTAGCCGTTAGGTCCCCTCGACCCGCAGATCCCCACGGGGCCAAGAGAACGTTGAAGTAGCAAACATACACTAGGGTCCTGTTCCACCAATAGACTACAGGCCAACGATACTTCCGTCTCTCCTGAGATCTCGAAGCCGAAATGGAATGTACATTGTGTTCAACCCTGGGCGAAAACTCGAAGGTTGATGACAAGTAACACATGGGCGCATAGTACAAAGCAGGTACCCACCGGTTCCGAAGGCATGTTAAGCTAGCTTTCTGCTAGACGCGAGATACCCACTCTGCACGTGAAGATGCGACCAGGCCAATAAGAGCGGTGGGAGAGGTATTAGCGTGTTCTGCCGAAACATCGAGGATTGTAGTGTTTTCGCAGGGGCCTGAGATGCATTCGTGCATGTATGACGACGGATGAATTCTTATCGGAGTGATGGTGCTTTCTCAGCGTCCAAAGAAACCTGACCGCAACCTCGTAACGTTATTTATCTGCAAGCTTGTCTCGCGGCTAATCAGTCGGGGGCGGTTGATGAACGTGTTGATGCTGCGTATAAATGAACAGGTCGATGTTGTTACCTGCGACGGTGTTGTGCCTCGGCTCACAGTTGAATTAAGAAGGTTCACTGATTCCTGTGACCATCTCTCACCCAACTTGGAAGTCACACATGTCAGGGACCATTTGCAGTTCACGAGTGTACATAGCCATGACCAAGATGTGTACGACAACGGCTAGCATGCAAGGTCTGCCTATAGGTATTCGATCGAGAGGGATATCCATATAGTCAATCGGACAAGGAGCGCGAACGTAGTGCTGCGAGGCAGGGTGCAGAAGCCTGGTTGATGAGAAGGGAAGCATGAGCAGGTAAACTTCATACACAGCATCTCGTATTGCGTGCCGCGAGGGGTTTCGGATACCGAAAGCGTTCCAGTGTAACTATGATGCGGGCTGCTGCAGCCAAAGTATGCTAAGATGAAAGTGTAAGGTTTCATTGCCGTTGCGAGGAAGACTTAGTGGTAGTTGGAGACACACCCTACAGCAATAGTTAGGATTCTTTCAAAAGGAATACACTGCGAACATCACTGAGCACGAAAGCAAAGATATGCAAAGGCAGTGTGTTGCGATGCCTTAAACGGGAGGAACATACAGCTTGCGGCTGAACAGGGGATCGGGTCGTACAGCGTCGATCCACAATGACGTACAGCAGCCCGTTCGCAGCAAGACGTAATAATTTAGAAGAAGTAATTCAAAGTTACACAAATGACGCAAGAAAGGTACCGCAACTCAAGCAAACTGAAACACGGACAAAAGCAGATCTGGGTATTCCCAAAAGCAAGAGTTCCAACAAAACGTAACCAAAACGCCATTAGCCGTGAGGCTTTCCGTTCTCGCAGGTGTCCCCAGGGTTTTCCATGCCGCGAGGCTCTCCAGTCTTAGTAGGTATAGTGTGTGTCTGTGGGGATAAAGTATGTCTTTTCGTGATGGTAAAGGAGTGTAGGTAGATTGGTTCGTGCAAAAGAGGTTGTGACACTGGAGACGCTCCGATCCAATCTACTGGAATGCGTTCATATCCGGCGATCCAGACGGTCGACGCGCGACTTGAATCCTTTGACAATCTCTCCAATGCGACGGACTTTATCGAATTCTACTTGCAGTTCATCGATTTCGTGGAGGATTGCGCGGAAGCGGGCGATTTCAGCATCAGCCATTTGCATGGCATTGCCTGCGCGGTCGTACTGCACTTGGGTTGCTGTTTGTGTCTGCTGGGTGAGCTGGCCATTGTCAGTACTACAGCACACAGAATTGAGCCTACCCAAAGACATAACAGAAGACACTCACATACTGCCAGCGCTGCTGGATAGAGTACATTAGACGGTCAAAGTGGGCGCTGAGCGCCTGCAAACTAGAAGGATCCAAGAGGAGACGGCCTTGGCTGGAGGCGTGAGAGGCAGCACGCGATGAATTGGAGCCGTGCTGTGAGGCGGCGATTTGTTGCTGGAGATATCTGCTCTCGCTCGAGTTGAGGCCCAGTTCAGACACTGGGATGGCGGACATGTGCACATAATTATCTTAAGAACATGGTCGATCGGGAAGTCTGCGCCCTGGCTTCCGCGTGTGCGACGGCTGGATAGGATTTGGGCGTAGCAATTGTTACTAGTTGGCTACGAACGCTGGGAAACGTTACAGTAGGCCTGCGTGGAGGAGGAAGGGGAATATGCAAGTTGATGTCGTTTGAGATGGGTCGGGCGGGCGAGATGCGCCAAGCGGCAATTCCGGCTGCCCAAAAGCATATCACCAAAAAGCAAGGGCATGCGAACGCCCATTATCCCACACCCTCATCTCCCCTTAGCCGGCTGCAGCCCTATGTACTGCCGTCCCCATGCGCCAGTACGCAGCCGCCGTTTGGTGTTGCAGTCGCTGCACATGTCTCTATCCGCGACGCAGCGCGTATCGCCATGAGCGAGCCAGCGGTCAGCAAGCCCATCATCTTCCCATCCGCCCACTGCGACATGATGCTGAACCACGACTGTTTGCTTTTGCGTCCGTACGACCATAGCGCTGTGCCGCACTCAACTTCTGGCTCCCATTAGAGCGCGGGATAGTGTCTCCGCACGCACACCCTCTCCACAATCTGCGACAAGGATACGTTGATTGTGCCGCGAGGTTCATGGATGAACAACGACCCCACCAGCTCGCGTGCGGAGGGGTAGGGTACTCCTGGTCGACCGTCGGCGAACCATATGCAGAAGGTGACAATGGAACGAGAGCGTGACAAACATGTGCCGCTGAACGAGTACACCAAGTATCAAGCCTCAATCTCTACGCTGTTGGTAGTCTGGCACGCGGTACATCTCTATGGCGTCGCTGGGTTCCATCATGCCGAGGCAGAAATGCGCAACAAGTTTCACAAGGAGTAAGCACGTCGAAGAATGCCTGCATAATATCCCGTGAAAGTTTGTGTCAGATTCAAGGTTCATCGGAAACACACTTCCAACATTGGTGTTGAAGTTTACTTCTTCATTGAGATGGAGACTGGTTGATCCAGGCCTTTAGCCAAGCGGCGGAGAAGCGACCGATATTGACATCGTCGATCGTCATATAGATACATGAGTATAAAAGAATAAGAGAAAGGGGTATATACAACAAGCCATCCAACGCTATGCACAAAAAACAAGAGAAAGAAACGTACTACCCACGCCTTATAAGGCGTAGTTCTCGGCGTGGAGGAAAATCTCATCCCGCCCACTATCACTCCATACACTCCTCTGCATTTGCGCAATCGTCTCACTCACGCTAATGCGCATGGTGGGTGGCCCACAAACAAACACACACGTTCTGCGCCCAAAGTTTTTGCTTAGTCCTTTGAGTAAATACGGTATATCCGGGCGTCCATATTCAGTGCTCCAGCCGTCCTTTTTCTTGACAGCTGCAGGCAGGAATGCAAAACGCATCAGGTTCTTTTGGAACTCAGTGGGTGTTGATGGGAAGCCAAAGTCGAAGCCTTGGGCGCCTTCGGTGGGATTGTGGATTATATCTGGATTTATGGCGCCGGAGCCTGCGGAGACGGCTTGATTGATGTCCAGAGAGAGGTTGCGCTCTTGACGTCGAGCAGCAAGGCCGCGTGGCGCAGGCGCTATCATATCCGGGTTCGAGCTGTCTGCTGATTCGGCAGAGTTTCGCCCACTGTTGTAGCTTGAGCGTGGTGGTGCGAGGTGGCCCCTATTGACGGGGACCATGTGCGCCTGAGGAAGTGCCGTAATACTATCTTCGTTCTCGCGACGCAGCTCAGACTCCTTCTCAGGATCTCCCTGCGCTTCATCGCGGATGAGAGCGGAGTGTCGCTTTGAGGAGACACCCGAAAGACCCGAAAGGCGGTGGTCGGCAATGTTCTGGAAAGCATCGTTGACCTTGTCGTGAAAGTACAGCGACACTGGACGAGTAGGTGTTTTCGCGCTGACAAGTCCACCGCCTGGGTTACGTTTCGCAGCGGTGATGTAGAATTGACACTGTACGGTCTCGGGTGGCGCATATTCACGGCAGATGCGCAATTCTTCCTTGAACCACTCCATGGTTTCAGGACGCTTGAGGGCCCAAATCACGTGGATTTTGCGCGTGACAGCTTTGCCATCGCGCATCTTCTTGATAAGGGAGAGCAGCTGCGAGACAATGGCAGTGATGCCACTACCTCCTGCAATGAGTACGACGTCATCGAAGGCTTCAATGCGCCGTTGCATACCTCCATATGGACCATCAACAAAGGCACGATATGTGTGCCATGGGCCATGGTCGAGAGCGTTCTGAAGAACCTTCTTTGTGAAACCACCGAACGGGCGGAAGACGAGAACCATATCCCGGTATCCCTCGCCATATTCAGATGGAAAGTCTTCACTGCATAGTGAAGCGATGGTGAAGGGGTGATTTTCAAACACTGAGATACCAGGCATGCGAAGATAAACATACTGTCCAGGTCTCCACCTCATTCGGGTTGGAATAGTAATCTTGATAGCGTTCTCTGGCATGAGCGTCACGGCGGCCTCGTCGCCAATAAGCCATGACAGTTGACCTGGACGAGTCCAATTCAGATAGAACAGCCGCATGAAGTAGGACAGTAGCCAGATGCCCAAAGTGGAAAGCAGGTAGTGCCATGATGTTAGGTAGTTGTTGCAATGCCAGAACATCATTCCGAGGAAGACAATGGCAACGGGCACGTGCAGTGCCACGAACAGTTCGTACATTCGGTGGCGTAGGGGCGCAATCGAATGCGTGCAGAGGAAGCACAAGGGAACGAGTGCTGCGATACCTGAAACTTGTCAGTATG